AGGAGGAGGCGGAGGAGGAGGCGGAGGAGGAGGCGGAGGAGGAGGCGGAGACGGAGGAAGATGCGGATGCGGAGGCGGAGGCGGAGGCGGCCCGGCGGCTCGCTCTTCGGGGACCTCTCGCCCGGCGGTGGTTGTGTGGCCGTATCCAGGTCGGGCCTTCTCCTCCTACAGGCGGACAGTTTTGGGGGCGAACCATGGCAAATGGTGGAAGGCGAGTCGACAAAGATGGTCAAACATGATCCCAGCATCGTCCCCGTACTCTCCTTTTGGCTACATGTTCGAACATTCCTCTACTTTCGGCTTCCAGGATCTCGGAGCGAATCGGGCCGTGGCGGCGAGGGCCCCACGCAGGATAGGCCAGGGAAGGGGGCGAGGACGAGGCGGGGGGGCCGCGGTGCCCAGACCCTCTCGGGCAGTGCAGAACCACGACGGGGGGATTTTCGCGATTTTCGGCTTCCTCCTCCTCCTCCTCCTCCTCCTCCTTCTCCTCCTCATCATCCTCCCCCTCCTCCTCCTCCTCCTCCCCTCCTCTCCTCCTCCTCCTCCTCCTCCTCCTCCTCCTCCTCCTCCTCCTCCTCCCTCTTCCTCCTCCTCTCCCCCTCCTCCTCCTCCCCCTCCTCCTCCTCCCCTCCTCTCCTCCTCCTCCTCCTCCTCCTCCTCCTCCTCCTCCTCCTCCTTCTCCTCCTCCTCCCGGGGGCCCTGTCAGAGAGCGGCGCAGGACGAAAGGCCGGTCCCCGGGGAAGGAGAGTCCAGAGCCCTGGGCCGACGCCACGAGAAAACAGTCGCGGCGTCGGGGGGTCCGGGGCACGAGGCGGCGACGGGGCCGCGCTCTCTCGGGCGCCGGGCGAAAAGCTGGCAACCCCAGCGGGCGCACGAGGCGACGCCGAGGCGTTCACGGGCGGGCAGCAGCCATGCAGGGAAGTCAGGCATGACTAGGGGAAGACACAGTGGCATAAACATAACAACTCGGAGGTCCGCGCGGATTCCTCGGATCGGCGCTGGGGCCCCCCGGCGGCGCCTCGGGCGCCGCCCCTGGCGCGCTCCGCGCGCCAGGGAGGGGGGGTCCAGCGCCGATCCGAGAAATCCGCGCGGACCTCCGAGTTTTGATGTTTATGCCACTTTTTGTGCCCCTAATGCTACGGCATGACCCTTCAGTGCAATCGCTGATTTGGGAGCATTTGGCTATGTGTGGCATGCTGGTGGTAGGGTGCGCTACTGGAGCGCTGAGTCCAGCCAGAGAGGGCACGAAGGCACATGAGCGCGATCTCTGTTGCAATGTGAATCGAACCTGCAGCGACGATCGACTGCGCCACTGCTGTTGTAGCCGTCACTGACACTGCAGCGGCCATCTGCAAGCACGATTGCTAGTGCACTGATTGTTTGCCACTGCAGTCTTACTGGGACTGCGCTTTCCAATCATGGGCTGGATGACCTTCTGAAGAGGGGTTGCATCGGGTTGATGTTGGAAGCGCAGTCGCAGCTTCTGACGGGCAGAGGCGCGGAAGCAGTGTGGTGTTGCGAGTCTCCTCCGTTTCTCAAGGCTGCCAGTGGTCATCCTTCAGCGCCGGAGGTCGCTCAGTTGCACGGCGGTCTGGTTCCTCTGCATGGACGCCTCTTTGCACAATGGCTTCACCTCGCGTGCCCCGGAGTGCCAAGGAACTGCTGTGGAAGGTTATGTTGGGCTGTATTTCTTTTTTTGTTGATTGTCTCGCCTGCTTTTTCATGCATTCCGTCCCGATAGCTGCTGTAACTCACTTGTATGTTGTTGGTTTCACCTGTGTTCCTGCTCCCCGGTGCATCCATGCACATGCGACTCGCTCATGATTCTGGTGGCCTTCGGCACACCCCGCTGTCGGGCCGCGTTGAGGGTCAGAGATGGTCAGAGACATATTGCATGTCTCTTGGGCTCTTTTCGGGGCCTCTTGTGGGCCTCTTCGGGGTCTCTTGCGGGCATCTTGGGGACCTCTGGGGGCCTCTTGGGGGCCTCGCAGGGGCGTCTCGGTTGCTTTCGGGGGGGCTCTTAGTGGCATCTCAGGGAGGATGGCTCCGAATGTTAGTTCGAGTTCCCCATTCCTGGGGCATCTCGGAGGCTTTTTATTGGGGGCTCTTGTGGCGATCCTGGGATCCTCTTGGGCCGTCTTGGACACCATCAGGGCAGGAAAAGCCGAAGCTCCAAGAATTGTACAGCATTTCCAGGGGTTTGATGATTCTTGGCCTTCTGGGCCGGCCCCCGAGGGCTCCCACGTCGGGACAGGCCCCAGCGACCATCCCAGGGCATATGTTGGAAACGCATGCTCCAAGCTACGCCCCCGAGGCCTCTCTGGAAGAGTCACGAGGGGTGCCTACGCGAGCGCTCGGAAACGCCCGAAAGCGCCCGGCTCTCGCAGGTTCTGTCGGCCGTTTGAATAGCGCTTGCAGTGCTCAGTGTTGAGAACGCGAAGTGGCCAGAGGGCATGCCATTCAGGAATTCGAGGCAACGTGGCGTGTGTGTGTGAGTGTGTGTCTTTCCTCCCGCCGTCGCCGGGCGTTCCTCCTCCTCCCCCCGTGCATCGCGGCTTAGTTCGCAATTGTTCGTCCAACTCTTGCTCTTCCGCCATCGCAGTCATTCTGCCTAGCCACCGACGCCAAAAGATGTAGATGTGTGTGTGTGTGTGTGCGTGCTGGTTGGTGGCGTATCCACATACCTATGCATAGACATGCAGTTTCGAACACACATGTGAATCTACACATGCACGCACATTCGTAAACCTAGACGTGAGTATGCCCGCGGGCCCTGGCCGATATCTGGGTGCACTTCCGCCGCGCAGCACTTCTGCGGTCGCTCCCGTTCCGGCAAGGCCCTGAGCTGCGGAGGGACTCTTCCCCGTTCTCGCCCCTGCCCACTTAACTATGGGCGCCTCGTTGGCGCCTCGTGGGCGGGCTGGCGGTCCTGGATGCGTGTATGTCTATATATAAGTATATGTCTGTCTGTCTGTCTGTCTGTCTGTCTGTCTGTCTGTCTGTCTGTCTGTTTGTCTGTCTGTCTGTCTGTCTGCATGCATGCATGTATGTATGTATGTATGTATGTATGTATGTATGTGTGTATGTATGTCTATATGTATGTATGTATGTATGCATGCATGCATGCATGCATGCCTGCATGTATGCATATATGTATGTATGTATGTATGTACGCACGTACGTATGTATGTATGTATTTATGTATGTATGTATGTATGTATGTATGTATGGATGGATGGATGGATGGATGGATGGATGGATGGATGGATGTGTATATATATATATATATATACCTGTATGCATGTCTAGAGAAGATGTTGGCAGGAAATTCTGATCTACCCCCTCCCCCTGGATTCTCCCCCCGCTCCTGGGGATGCGCAGTTTACACTCGGTTCTGCCGCATCGTCCACTGTAAATTTGAATTCGCTCAGCCGTCTTCATCCCCCCGCCATCCTCTGCAACAAAAGGTATGCGCGTGCGCACTCGTGTATCAACAATCGTCCATGTTCGAGGAACCCTTGCAAACAAATGAAGGACGAAGTGCCCGCTCGCGCGTCGTCGCGCGCGCATGCCAAAATCTTCCAAACACCGCATGTATCGTAGGGATTTCCGGGTCGAGAGCCCCGATAGCATAGAACACATGTCGTTTTGCAACGGCAGTTTTCCAGACAATTCAGCACGAGTTGGGTCTGTCAGCGTTGTCATCGACTGTGGCCCAACGGGCCTCGTGCGCGTTTGTCGAAAGCATTCGAACGCCCTTGCGCGCGTGTTGGGGGGGGGTGCACGATCCCTGTCAAATGCGGGCCACTCGCGTCGGCCGCGCGCGCATGTCGAGGCCTCCCCAAATCGTCATCGCCGACGCGTGGACACAATCACCGTCGTCGGCGTGATGAGCACTGGCGCTGTCAAGTCCCTTGCCGTCGTCATCGCCGTGCCATCACTCGCATCGCTGCAATCATCATCGTGTCTGTCGTTGCCAACGTCGCCGTGATACCGCGCCCTCCCATGTCACCGACTCGCACTGAAGTGTGCGTCAGCGCGGCCTCTAACCCGCGGCGGGAAGTCTCTAGCGGTGGGCGCCACCGCGGCCGCGTCGGTCGCGCCACTCTAGCTGGCCATTCTGCGCGCGAGCCTGCGCTCGGCAGCGCGGCCGCAAGGATGCGCCAGCCAGCGCCAGGTAGGCATCACAAGTGCCGCCTCATGGGTTCTGCAAACCAAGTTGCTGGTGGGTCGGTGGGATGATTGCGCGAGCAGTGAAGCTGACAGCTCACTGCGAACAGAAATTGATTACACACCATAGGTTGCAGCCCATCTACCCGTGCATTGTGCGAGACAAAGGTTTCACCACACACATTGCACCACAGAGGTTGCACTTCGTAAGTGGCACCGCGTCCATGGCGTCGCATAGAATTGTACCACATAAGCGGCACCGCGCACAGGTTGCACCACAGCTCTTTCATCCCATACGATACCTTGTCATTGATTGCCTTGCGCACACATGTGTATATACGCACATACACATACATACACACAGCTCCATATATGCACCAACGTCGTGGCATATGTATGTACACATTCACCCACGACCCACCCGCGATCCATTCGCGACCCACTCGCGACCGACCTGCGATCCACCCCGCGACGCACCAACATTGCTTTCACTAGAAACTTGGCGCCTGCAGCTGGCTCGTTGCATAATTTGCAAGACTCTGGCGCCTGCGGCGGGCTTCTTCCGAGCCTCGCACACTGCCAACGTTCCCGCCGCCCTCTCACTCTTATCCGCAACTGCGGGCTGCCACAGTTAAAAAGCAGGTGTTCCTTTCGGTTTTTCGAGGCTGCCATGACCCTGCACGTATAGAACCGGGACGGGGTCTGATTCACTTGCCACAAGCACATACAGCACAGCTGGGAGACAAAACCCACCGGCAGCTGAAACAGAGCTGCTCATCTCAGATTAGTCGTAGGTCTCTATGTTTTACACACCTAAAGCATATGTCCGTAGCCATTGTGGCTAAGGCTGAATTTTGTATTTCCTTTTGGGGGCCGAGCCTCAACGACCGTTGCCCGATGCGGGGCGGCGGCGGCTGGTCCATGCTGCTGATGCTGCTCTTCGGCGCGGCCCTTCAGCGTGGCGACAGCCATAACAGCAGCAGCAGCAGCGATAGCAACCCTGTGCGCCACCCGAGCGCGCCCGACCAGCCAGAGGAGCCCGATGCGCCACCCGAGCGCGCCCCAGCGCTGCGCGCGGGGGCGCACGCGGGCGGGGGCGGCGGCGAGTCGACCCCCGCGCCGCGCGGCGCCGGGGCGCGGGGCCTCGCGTGCGCGCTGGCGGGCGTGGGGGTGGTGGCCCTGCTCCGCAGGCGCCGGTGGCGGCATCGGCCACTGGCGAGCCGAGCGCCTGCTGCCCCCGCGCGGCCCTGTGAGGCCGCGGGCGGGCGCGGCGCACATCCAGAGGCGCCGCAGTGGGGCCTCGTTGCGTGGGCCTTGCTAGTCGGCGCCTCCGTCTCGGCGCGGATGTGGTGCAGCGTGGAGCTCGTCGCTGGCGCGGCCGCCGACATGGACCCTATCCTTGCGAGTGCCCACGTCGCCTCCAGGGCCATGGTGCTGTCGTCCCTCTGCCTCGCGCCGTTCGCCTCGCGGCGGGCGCTGCCCAGGTCCTGGGGCCCCTGGCTGGCGGGCGTGTGCACCGCCCCCTCTGCATCGCTGATCGTGACGTCCCCGGTGATAGGGCTAGGACTCACGCAGATGATGCTGAAGCTGTCGACCCTCCTCACAGCGCTGTCCCTGGACGCCCTCGCCGGCAAGTTGAGGGCTGGCTGGCAGCAGCGCCTGCTCGGGACCGGTACGGTGCTCGCGGGCGTGGCTGTGGCGGCCGTCTGCGGCGGCGGCGTCGGCGCCGCTGGTCTAGCGCTCGGGCCCGTGTTGTTGGTGTGCCTGGCGGGCGCTGCCGCCAGCGGCGCCGGGGACGTGCTCCAGGCGAGGCTCAGCGCGCCGCGCCCGCGCGCCCCAGGTAGGCCCGCCGCCGACGAGGCCGAGGCCACGGCGGCCGTGGTGTGCCAGGCCGTCAGCGCGGCGGTCCAGGTCGTGCTCCTCTGGCTGCTCGCTGGCCGCGCGGTCGGCGGCATGCTGGCATTTCCAACGCTGCTGCGGCACGCGCACCTGTGGGCCTTCGCGGGCCTGCAGGGCGCGTTCTTCCTGCGCAGCATCCAGATCCTGAGCAGGAAGCTCGGCCTCGCCACGTCCTTCACGCTGAGCCTCTGCGGCCAGCTCGTCGCTGCCGCTGCGCTGGACGCGGCCCAGGGCGCCACCGCGGCGCTGTGCCCCACGCGCCTGCTGGGGCTCGGCCTCGTCATGTGCGGGGCGGCCCTCAGCGCCGGCCGCTCTGCGAAGGGGACACCGCAGCTGCCGCGCGTCGTGCGCTGCGAGGGCGAGGAGGCCGTGACCGAGCGGCATCGACAGCACCAGGAAGGCGGTTGGCAGCAGCCAGACGGCGAGCCGCTGCAGCGTGGGCGGCCGCGAGAGGGCGAAATCGTACGCCTCGTCACTGGGTCCCCTAGTGAATTTCACCAGCGTGAGGCGATCGTGACCGAGGTGGCAGAGGCTCACTGCACCGTGGTGGTCCTCGAGCCATCGAGGCGTTTCGGCGTCGGAGTGTGCTGGCCAGGCTTCGGCGACGTGGTGGCCGTGAGCAGCGCCTTCTGCCTGGGAGAGAGGGTGGTGATCGAAGGGCTCAGGGGCGCGACCACTCGCCACCTCAACAAGCTCACGGGCACGATCGTGCCTCATCCCGAAGAAGAGAGACTGCATGAGCACAAACTCTTGACGGTCCGCGCGGATTTCTTGGATCTGCGCTGGACCCCCTTCCCCTGCGCGCTCCGCGCGACAGGGACGGCACCCGAGGCGCCGCCAGGGAGGTCCAGCGCAGATCCGGGAAGTCCGTGCAGGCCGTCAAAAGTCTATGCTTGTGCCGCTTGCTCTTCTTCCACCCTCCCCACAGCGGGCACCCCACCTTCGTGCACAAGGCCGCGTCGCCCGACCGGCCGCGGCTGGCGCTGCTCGTGGCGCTCGACGACCCCAAGGCTGGTGGGGTAGCTTTTTACCACCACTCCCATAAGTTGGAGGAGGGAAGGAGGTGGAGGAGGAGGAGGAGGAGGAGGAGGAGGAGGAAGAGGAAGAGGAGGAGGAGGAGGAAGACGAGGAGGACCCCCGCCCCTCCTACTTGTGGTGGTGGCGGTGGAAAACAAGCCCACCAAAGGCCGCGGGGGAGACCTCCGTGCTGCTGGAGGCGCGGTTCCTGCTGCCGCGCGGCGTGGGGTGCTCTTCAGGTTGCGCCGCGCTGGACCTGGACGCCGCCCTGGTCTCCCTGGGCGCCGGGCCGAGGTGGTCCGCCACATACATGCAATCACGGACACCTTCCACTTGATTTCTATAGACCTCCTTCCAATATGGTGTCGGAGTAGACGGGGGGTCGGAGGGCCGCGCCGCATCGCCGATGTATCGCCACTGCGGCTCGATGCGGAGCCCAGTTTGATTCACGCCGGCGTCGCCGATGCACCGCCGACTTCGACGATGCATCGCTGGTGCATCGCCGTTGCATCGCCGATGCATCACCGATGCATCGCCGATGTGTCGGCGATGCGGCGCGATCCTCCGACCCCATCTACTCCGACCCCATCTAGGAGGCCTCTGGGAATGTTCCTGGGCCCCAGGAAAGGGTGGCGTTGTAGAAATCACCACTGAGAGCCAACGACGTTTTGTACACAGGGGGGTACATGTAAGATTCGCCGGAGAGTGTCTGTGTGTGTATCTGTTCGTGGCGTAGGTGGGCCCAGACGGGGGTGGGGGCCTGAGGGCCGCCTCGCCATGATTCAGAGGAGGGCGAGTCGAGCCAGTGGCAGTCGGTCTTCGGGGCGGGGCCCCTCGCCGCCACGGCTGGACGCAGCTCGGGAAACGGGTGCGCTTGGGCCCCGGGAGGGGTCCGGGGACCGATTTTTGACCTGCCGTTGTCGCAAGTCGCTCTGCGCTGAGATGTGGAGCTGCGGTGCGAAGGCGTCGGGCAAGCATGCGCTCGAATTGGACCAGCAAGCCCGGTGCAGGCTGCAGGTCGCAGGAGGGCGAGTGCGTTTCAGGCGGGATTTTCCCCTGCCAGCATGGCTGGCAGCACCCCTGGCGCGAGTTCGATGGCGACCCGCTTGCAGGGACAACTGTTTCTTCTTTCCCCGCGGAGCAATCCGTTCCTTCCGCAGGTTTTTTTCGCGAGTGCCCAGATATTTCCGCGTTGAGTTTGTCGACGTGACGCCTCGGCTGCGGCAAGCTGGTCCAGCCTGGTTGTGGGCGTCCGGCAGCAATGCCGCCATTCGGTTTCCACCCACCGTGTTGCTTCAGGTGGAGACGCAGGGTGCTTTTTCGTTGTAGCTGGCGGATGTGGCACGCACTCTCTAAGTGGTACCTTGTCCAGGAACAGTTTTCATGCGTGGCATGTGGCTACAGCATCTCGCGAGTGATAAGACCCGCGAAAACCATACATCTGATGTTGTCATTGCTGCTGGTATTTTGGGCTGGCATCTGCAGACGTATCCATTTGACCGGGCCAAGCGCTACCACCGTGCCTGCGCACCATCGAGATGAATGCTGGATGTTTCTGCCGAGCTCTTTCGAAAGGCTCCGTCGAACCATTCTATGGTCAGCCAGGAGGCAACGCCGAGGTGTTGTCGCGGGGTGTGGCCGTGGTTTTGCACGAATGCCGCGTTGGATTCTTCTGTTGGCCTGAACTGTATTATGTCCGTGGCCTCTTGGGAGCTTCTGTGGTCGGAGCTGGGTGGGAGGCTGAGGTGGCCCAACACTGCCTCCGGCCAGCAGGAAAGGAGGGAGAAAGGGGCCCCCTCTTCGCCACGGCTGGGCGCGGCTCGACAAACTCAGTGTCGACCCTGGGCGGGTTCCCGGGACAGATCTTGATCGGATTTGCCTCCGTCCGCTCCTCTTGACCGATTCTCCTTGGGCTTATCCAGCTCGGTCCCTTGGCCGCCTCCAAGTCTGTCTCTCTCTCTCTCTCTCTCTTGGGCACGTCTCGCGGGACTGCAGCAATCCACGTTTGCCGCCCTTGCCGCTTGCACTACCGCCACCCCGCAGCATTTGCCAGCTGCTTGAGGCAGATCCCGCTACCGTGGCAAGCGCAGCATCGACAGACATGTTGCGTTGTTGCGTGCTTCCACCGAGTCTCTCGGGTAGCCTCGGCCTACACACCCTGGGCGAATCTAGGAAGCAACGCCACCATGCTGTAGTTTGTAACGTTGCAGGTTTGTTGCGTTCCCTCTCTCTCTGTATATATGTATACAGTTACATACAGTTTGGTATGCACACACGTACACACCTCCTTTTCGTATTGGAAGCATGTTGTTGCATCGTTCGGGGCCTCAGGGGGGGGCCCTTTCCCGGGCTCTCTTTGTTGCCCTTCGGGGGCTTGTAAGAAGCTGTGTGGAGATCGTTGGGCCGTTTTGGATACAATGGCTCTACCGAGCTTTCCCGAACCCTCCAGAATATAAGATCGGCATATCCGTCTTGGAGACATTTGTGTAAGCTGCACTGGTATGCTCGCGTTGCCACGGATTTGCCCGGGGATTCGGGGGCATCACAGAGTGGGTGAAGACTAATTAGGGGGGGCGGTGATGATGGCCGGGGCCATGAGATCTCCAAGATTTCGTCCCTCTTGTGCTTCTTTCAACACGCCCCTCGGACACCCGCCTCGTCCGCACACATGCCTCGGGCCATGACGCGCTACGGTCGGAACAAGGTATAGGATCGAGGTCGATTCGGGGAAGGTGCCCTCATGTTCCTCGTGTTCGTTGGATGTTTTTTGTGCATCCTGGGGGAGGGTACCTTTGAATGTTCTCCATGTTGGCCGGCCGAGGGTTCCATGTTCTTGAAGGGTGCTCTTCTGTCCTGGGCCCGATCGTAACCCCCATCGTCGTCCTGCCCCCCCCCCCCCTCTTGGGCGCACCCGAGGGAGCCAGCCTGGAGCAGTGAGCTCCCCGAAGGTCCTGGGTCTGCCTGCCCTTCCCGCCCCCCCCGCGCGCCTCCTGCTTCCCCCGAGCACACCTCTCGCCCCGTGCGCCGCCGGCGGACCCTGCGCGTGCTCCGCCAGGGCGGCCGAGCCCGCGGGGGAGCCACGCTCGGGCGTCGTCGTGGGGTCGTCGGAGGGCCACGGCAGGAGCATGCCCGGGGGGGTGCGGGTGCTCTTCGCGGGCAGCTCGTCGGGGGACGGTGCGGCGGCGCCGCCGACAGGTGGGTTCTCGGGAGCCGCGGGGATGACCTTCGTGCGATGCCTGGGCCGGCGGGGCCACTCCGTCCCTGCCGCTTCCTTCCCCCGCCTCCCCCCTTCTCCCCCTCCCTCCCTTCAAGCCGTGGCGAAGCGTTCTGGCTCGCCTGTAGGCCCACCAAGAACTTTTTGTGGTCTGCACGAAATGTTCTTAGAACATGCTTGGCTGAGACTGTCCTGTTTGAACACGTCGGCTTGATGTTCTAAAAACTTGGTTTGTGTTGTTCGAACACCCTTGGGTTTTAAGAACACTTCGTGGTAGGCCTATAAGAGTGCCGGGACGGTCGGTCCCTGCTCAACCCGTGTCCGTCCCCTCCCCCATCCACGTTCCGCTCCTCTTCCTCCTGAGGCCCGTATTCCTTTTGACTCCAGCCTCGACTCAAAAGCCGAGGCTCGTCTGGCAGAGCTTGCTGGGATCTTGTGCTCCAGGCGTGCAAATTCACTCGGGCCAACAGCGGTTCAGGATTTCTGGCTCCAGTCAACCGTGCTGCCCAAACGGAGAGCATACGAAGTGTTCAAATCACCCCCGGAAAGCCACAGCAACGCACGAGTCTACGTAAGAATGTGTGCCATACTTTCGGGACCGGGGCGAGGGAGGCAGAGAAACAGGCTGGTGGCTCGGTCCAGCGATCGGGACCATTGCTGACAAGTCCGAGCTCTTGGCCACCTGAGCCAGGGTGGACATGTGAGCCTTGCAAGCATATTCGGCCATTCGGAAGAGATCGTGAGCGTGCTCTTGCGCTCGCTTTCATTGCAAAGTATCCAGGCCATCTTCTTTGAGGAGAGGTCAATTTCGTCAGGGGGATGAGCGAGTACCACCTTCGCCGCAGGATTTTCGCAAGGAGTCACGGGTTAGAGAAGACTTCGCAACCTTTTTCCTGCTTCGAGGGACTGACCATTATTGAAGCACGTAGGGTGTACCAGGATTGCGAGCAAACTGTGCAGTTGAAGATGCACTAGTTTACTACTGGAGAACCTTCTAGATGTCTTGTGCATGGAGGTGCCTTCCGTGGCGATGACAACACGGTTGAGGACGGGATTCTGCATTTGTAGAGCGTTTTTGTGGGAATTGTATTCTTCTGAGCTTGCGAAGGGCTATCAGTTTGGAGATTCCCAGCCTTGTCTTGAATTTGCACGGATGAGTTCCAGATGCCTTTATCGGCTCATTCAGGCGTTGTGGGCCATGGCGCGTCGACCATCAGGGGAGCCATCTGGATCTATCACGCTGGAGCGCCCTATTACAAGAGGACATGGATTTTCCGCCCGAGCTGATGATTGGTTTCCGAACTTGACCGACTCAACCATGATAGGCTGTTCATCTTTTTGGAGTTCGGAGATCTCGACAATGATGGCTTGGTATACGCTGCCGATCTCGACGGAGCTCTTCAGCAGAAGAACTTGGACGACTCTTCTGGTAAGACCTTGGTACAGTGTGTGTGCCCTGTCTATTCTGGAAAGTGCCAAGAACACTTGCAATCGCATCTCCCGCTGTTAGGGGTCCGCGTTGTTGGGAACTTCGTTTGCCACCGCTGATATCACTTCTTGAGGCCCCGGAGCAGATGTTCGGCACCATCCGCGTGCTGCATGCAGTGTACATGACAGCTGCAGCGCGCGCATCGAAGGGCGAGGCCGTCGGAGCATTCTTGCACGGCGACTCAGCACTTCGCAATGCCATGTCGCCGTCCTGTTTTTGATGGGATGTGTATCGCCTCTCTGGTTGGGTCCATCACGAGAGGTTGTTGGCCGACTATTCAGGCTGCCATCGCGCCCGACCTTGTAGCAGCACCGCCCGACCTTGCAGCAGCATCGCCTCAAAGTGTAGCCCGAGGTTGCCTGGCCTGAGCATGCAGGATGGCCACTGGGAACCTTCTGGTGGGCGCATCCGTCCTTGTTTTGCATCTCTGCGGCACGCCAAGCATTTCCACGCCCGAGTGCCAGCAAACGCTCTGGTGCTCGAGGCCGACTTGGATGACGCGACGAATCTGTTCGCGGAAATTGGAGGTTTGATCGCTGATCCCGAACCGTGTGGGAGGACGCACATACATTCTTGCACAGTGCAGACCTCGATGGTTGATATGTTGAATTGTTGTTGAATTGTAAGCATGATCAGGCGCAACGTCTCCAGGAACGTCTTGACCACGTCAGTGAGAATAGCCTAGCAACGCTTTACCAGATAAGTGAGGGCCACCTATCTAAATCCGGTGCAGACATATCGCACCGTATGAGCATCTTTCTTTTCATTGATTGCACAGCGCTTGGTAAACATGCATCACCGTCGACAGATCTTTGTTATCGCTTTATGGAGTGCATGAAGCGCGCATCTTGCAGATTGCATCGGCTCCGACATGGCTCTGATGCATTCTGCTCCCCGTCTGACATTGAAGTTCTTGGCGTGGCCACAGCTTTGAGCAAGGCAGTTGCCCACACGTGTACAGCAGAGCGATCATTTGTCGCAGCTCGATGGCCGGATGATTGCGGGTGCATCGAGGGGCTACCGGTCTTGAAGGGTCGCCCAAATTTGAATGAGGCGTTGCTGTGGCATGGATCACCAGCCGATGTCATTGAACATCTTTTGACAAAAGGTGTGGATCCACGGTGTGGTGGGAAGCGTCCGGGTAAGACGTTGTGCCACGCGTCTTATTGTGCATGGAGTGTCTGGAAGCCTCGTGTGTGTACAGTGAACTCACCGACAGAGATGGCAAGAAGGTGCCATCAGATCTTCCGTGGAGCATACTTGTATGCCGCGTTCTTCTAGGAGAGACGTTCTTTGGCTGCAGGGAGGTAGTTACGGCGGACGAATCATTCAATCGCCAGAGTGGGCAGAGGTGTGCCGTGTGGTTCGTTGGCTGCGCTGGTCCGTTCAGAGCGAGATCTCATGCCATCTGTGTCATGGTGGGAGTTGATCACATCAGCTCTGACTATCGCAGTAGCGCTAGTTATGAAGAAATCAGAGCAGAAATCCTCCTTCTGAGGAGTGGCCCTTTGGAGTGCCAGTTGGCGCACGGTCGTTTGACATGCAAAGTCTCGTGGTCCTGCTCGCGCTGCATCTCAAGAGCGAGGAAGATACGCATGCATCTTCTCGCGGTCTGATACCTGAACGCTCCCCATGGATGTGGGCTCCCATGGATACTTGTCCACACGGGACATCCGCTCAACGCCGTTTTGTATCTATGGGGGCGCGGCCGAGAAGTCTGGACCGTGCATTCACGAATATGTGCCCTGACCGTGAGTGTCAACAAGAGTCGCTGCCAGAATGTATGTCGGGTCCTCCCGGACTCTCGCTGCGGGAAAATTGGTGGAACCAAAAGTGGGACGATGAATGATGATGATG